TGAGTGAGAAGGGCATATGGGCAGTTGCCCGGGCAACCTGAGCAACCCCCCTGTGCACGTCCCTGGTTTTGGGCTCAGTTTAGCTCCTCCTAAATGGCACAAGGCAGGCCCAGCTCAAAGGAGGAAGCTGGTAGTCAATGAGGTGCGAAAGCAGGAGGAGAGGATGAGGTGTATAAAGGCCATTTCCCAGGCCAAGCAGGGAGAGTGGATGAGATGGGAGAGTGTGGTACAACGCAAGATGGGCTGGCAAGACCTTTGGTCAATGGAAGAGAGTAGGATCAGTTTCCTTATCAGGCCAACATTATGATGTTCTCCCATCACCGCAGAACCTAAACCTCTGGGTAGGAGAGGATCCCTCTTGTCCTTTGTGTTCATCACCTGCCACATTAAGGCACATTTTGACAGGATGTAAGGTAGCTCTTAGCCAAGGTCGGTTTACTTGGCGCCATGACCAAGTATTGCGATGTTTGGCTTTAGCATTGGAAGGCAAGCGTAACATGACCAATAAGTTGTTCTAGCCTGTTCTAGCCTGTTCTAGCAAAACATTACACGCAGAAGACAATATTCCTCCGCCCAGGCGAGCAACCACCAAGAAAAGGTGTTAAAACCAATTCTCGCCCAGGACAACTGGAAGCTGCTAGGGACTGGAAAATGCTGGCTGATCTTGATCAACGGCTTATTTTTCCACCTGAGATTGCCACCACTAACCTCCGACCAGATATTGTTTTGTGGTCTGGATCAGCACGCATTGTTCAACTGATAGAGTTAACAGTGCCATGGGAGGATGCGGTAGATGAGGCATATGAGAGGAAGAAACTGCGGTATGCTCATCTGGCCACTGAAGCAGAACAGCGAGGATGGAGAGTCCAGGTAGGGATGGCTCGATACCACAATTTTGGCTTCGGTACGATACCAGAACCTAATTACCTCGGTATCGATACTAAATCGATACCACAGGTTAAAAAAAAGAAACGGCCTCAAAATTTAAGTGACACTTAAAAAAACACTGCTTGAAATTCTCCACTACCAAATATGCAAAGAAAAGGTATCAAAATGTAAAATAATAATAATAATAATTCAGTCAGGGACTCAGGGAACATACAGTAGGTTAAATTTTGAAAAGAAAAAAAACCCCTTGAAATTATACATTTAAAATAGGTTAATATCTATAATAATAGATTAACATATAATAATAATAATAGAATAATGAAATGACATGTAAACCATTAGCTGTCATGCATCAACAGAGAATTATCAACATTTATTGCATTTATTCATCTTGGTTTGGTTACTGTTTGGGTTCATATTAATGCATTGCATAAAGAACCTAATGTTAATATGCTAAAACATGTATTAGTATATTTAATTTTCTAGGTCATTTAATTACTGATTGATATAGATAAATAAATGCTATAATACTGTTAGGTCAGGTTACCTAATGAATGTTGACAAATGTTGCTTAATTGTAATATTAGTAGGCTAATATTCATACTACTATTCCCCTCTCTCTCTCTCTCTCTCTCTCTCTCTAGAGAGAGAGAGAGAGAGAGAATACATTTTTTTATTCTTTATTCATTCAAATTCAATTAATATGTTTGTTTGAAATTGCAAAAATGATGAGACCTAAACTGAATTGGTTCTAGCGTGTCATGCAAGCAGATTTGAGCTTTCGTGTTTACCGTATCATATATAATTGATAAGCTCTTATGTATGTGCGCTGTTCAGTGTTCAATAAAAGTCTAAATTAAATCAGTTGAATGATGGACTAACCTGTCGATCTCTGAACTCTTTGAACAAGTCAAGATGAGCAACTGACAAGTGCTTCGGCAGATTTGATGTGTTGCCTCCCCGTTTGCAGAGTGGTGCATTGAGATCTGTTTCTTTACTTTTCTCATTACTTTTGTAGGCAAAGTAATGCCTTATTTCAGTCATACTGCTCTCTCTATTTATTAATTTCGGGCGTGTAGAAATTCGAATGAGCTTCGTTTGATCCATCGTCTTCCTCCGTTGTCACCGTTTGCCGGTTTCGTGTGACCCGCGTCAGTTTAGGTAGCGCACTGCCGCCTAGCGGTGAACTTCGAAACAGCAGCGCATCAAATACCGAATTGAACAAAATTATGATATTGTACCGTTTCAAATATAATATATACTGGTATTTTTGCAGTACCGGTATACCGGGCATCCCTAGTCCAGGTTTATCCAGTGGAAGTGGGTTGTTGAGGATTTGTGGCACACTCTACAACCCGGTTCCTCACAGACGTCGGATTCAGTGGCCAAGAGTTGCGTCACACAGTAAAGAACTTATCTAAAGCAGCAGAAAGGAGCAGCAACTGGCTGTGGTTGAGACGGAAAGATTCTGGCTGGCTGTGTACAGGCCGCCACGCTACGGTTTCGTAGAATTCTTGAAAAACTCGAAGAGTCTGTTGGTTTATTTGTATAGTTTGCATAGTAATTACAGTTATTACATTCCGGTGTATATTGCGTGAATGAGGGTTGGTGTTTGGGCAGAGATTGTGTTTTGCGGTAGGTAGTATGCCATACGGAACCATTGCCACTGAACATACTTTAACGAAGACAGTGGGGCTCGACAGCCTTAGTCAAACGGGTTGGCGTGTATGGTTGGGTTGCGGAGAGATTGTGGTTAGGTCACGTGAACTACGAGGAAGGAGCAACCTCAGCAGCAGGAGGGATGTAAAGGTCAGTAAGCTGGGCTGAGTTGAGTGGGGGACGGAGGGAGGTTCGACTCTGGGACGCCAGAGTCACTATCGACTCTGTGTCGTGACAGGTGTCGTGGGCTAGTCGACGAAACAGAGGACGGAAGGTGCCCACTTGGAAGACCCTAGAGATGTCCCCTACTCGGCTCAATCCAGACGGTTGTCGTGCTGGTCCGCTGGGGAGACCACACTGTAGTTGCAGCCGTTGTGTGTGCTGACGCGCCAAGTACACTGCAGCCCTTAACGCCGGACAGAAGGAGATACAGATCACCATATGGAAAGAAGCGTAAATGGATGGCGAAGCATAGGTTACTGTAAAGCTACGTCTTAGTTTGTGCTTATCTTGGCGAAAGCCGAGTACAAATCAGCAAGAAGTTTTAACATCTACTCTCGTGTAATGGAAATCATGTTATGTGCAATTGAGGAATATAATCCTTCAGACAAAAAAAAAATTTGACTTGAAATTTTTGCTGTATACCACAATCAAAAACAGCTTATACAAAAGAAAAGTACATGATCATCTGTAGAGAGCACAGTCAAAATGTAACTTTTTGTGACTGGCATTGCACTGATACACACTGTGACCGTGGAGGGCAGTACAGTAAACTTACTTTTTTTTTTTAACAGCATATTGATGATAACTTGCACACAGAGGAGGGTGTGTTTTCCAGGCAAACGGCATTCTGCTCCCAAATGGTGTGAACTGAATGCAAATTCCCATTGTTAGCAAATGTTTCCATGTGAAAGAAGTTTGTCTATATAAAGAAATGCAACAAGAGGTTTAGGGTGATTTGTAACTCAAATTAGCCCTTAATGTGGAATGTATGCAGGCACTCCGCATCATGTATTTTATAATGTCAGGTTCGCATCTTCTCTCTTTATTCCAGAGCATTTGATGTCTTGTATTTATTATCTTCGAACTGATTATGAAATTGGCATGATACATTTACCTGACATAATAATTTGAATTACTCTGAAATTATTTTTTCAAGTACCGTAAAACTTCAAATAATAGCCGAGTCCCAAATAGACGCCTGTCTCTTTTACACGCCTGGTGTGGCTGCAGGTTTGGGTAAATAAAGGCCGGTCTCAAATAGAGGCCGGGTCTGTTTTTTAGTTTCGGGTTGTATTTAATCCTCTAAACCCGTCAGACCGTCCGCTTTTTGGCGGCCGCCAAAGCAAATTGTTGTCACTCCAAAGCCTTTTTTGATCGGTGAGTGATGTAGAATAGACTGACTGCTGCGCTTGACAGGGCGCACGAGCAGAGAGAGCGCCCCGGCTGCGCGCGCGCACTCTCACGTCTTCAAACAACACGAGCGCTGTCTTGCTCTCTCTCCCTCGCGCAGATTAATCAAAATCAATTCACACGATAGTAAAAGGTCGTAAGACCGCAGTTTCACGTGGAGCATTTGGAGATTTTTAGAGTTTAGAGACAGGCCTATACACTCAATGAACAACATCTCAAATCTCAATACTAAATTATAAAGGCCTGTCTCATATAGACGCCTGTCTCAAATACAAGCCGGTGCAGTTCGACGATTTGGGAAAATAAAAGCCCGGGCTACTTTTTGAAGTTTTACGGTAGATTAAGTGAAGTCTTATCTGCGTCCAGGGTTAAGTGCATACTAGATCCCAGTTCAGATGGAGTGTGAGGCACATCTGGTGGGATTCTAGATTCCTGACTAACTGCTTGACTAAGTTGTTATGCAGTCGCAAATATGGGACTAGTTAAAAATACTTTTAAGGTAATAGCAAGTGTTAAAGCTGCATTATCTTAATGTACTAGTCATAACCTCTGGCTATTGTTCGGGCTTTAACTAAGTTGTTATATGGCCGACTGTAGGAGGCTACATGGGTACTTTTTAACAATAGCAAGTGTGACTGGCGAGTTTGTGATCATGAGGTCCGCGTATAAATACGGCCGGAGCGAGACTCTCTGAGCGACATTAATGAACGGGTAAAATATAAAGTAAAGAGCTAAACAAAACAATCAAATGTATTGCTAAACTATTATATAATTGACCAATAACCAATTGGCAATCTAACCTAAATTCGAGGTTGTGATAAAAGCTCAAAAGGAAATTAAATTACTTCAGTAACGCGCAGAGACCTTCACCTGCTCTATCGGATGCTGACATAGGGCAAATCTAGACGGGCTTACATATCCAATGTTTTTTAGGTAATGCTTTATCTAGGTGTTGTCACATGGCTTTTTATTCACCCAGATAAGAGTACAGATAGTCCTATTTGTCTGTAATATAATCTTTCTCTTTGTTTGTATTTCAGCCACTTGCCACGTCTGCATGCGTGTTTAGAAAGCAGTGATGTGGACTTCAGGATCGCTGTGGGAGAGACCATTGCTCTGCTGTATGAACTGGGCCGTGACATCGATCAGGTGTGTATTGTGTAGTGTTGAATAGGTTTGAGTGTCAGGATGATGGGAGCGTATATAATATGTGTTGTGCCTCAGGAGTTCGAGTACGAGGACTGCGATGCATTGTGTGACAGTCTAAAGAGTCTAGCGACTGATGGAAACAAACATCGTGCTAAAAACGACCGCAGGAAACAGCGCTCAATCTTCAGAGAGGTGCTGCACTACATTGAGGTGAAAGGAGAACTGCAACTGAGGCTTTTTTATTTTTAAATAACGTCAGTTAATTACATTCAGATATTTTATAGCTACATTGCATACTGTGCTAATTATCCGTGTTGATCCAGGACTGTCATAGATGATTATGGTTTAAAAATGTACATACACCAGACCAATCATTCCCTTCCATTTTCAGAATGAAGATTTCACAGAGGAGAAGATCCAGTTTGGGATTGAGGCCATCTACATTGATGGCTGGATGCGCCACAGGATTTATGATGCCTTTAAGGAGGTGCTCGAGTCTGGAGTCAGACACCACCTACAAGTGAGGAGGACCAATTGCAACTCACTGTTGGCATACATAACACTATGTAGTACTGGAGAAAAATCTAGATTTTATTCCGATTAATATTTGTTTAAATGGTTTCTTAAAATCCAAGTTTGATCTTTTAATCTATACACATAAAAAACAAATGAGAAAATCATTGTTTTATAGTGCTCTCTAGCAGCAGTTCTTAACAGTTTTGACTCCAATGCCTCCCCATTGTCTAGAATAATATTTGAAGACCCCTGCATATAGGTTAATAGTTTTCATCTGGTACATAATAATTAAAAAATATTCTGTTAAAATAATAATTAAAATTTGCAAGTTTAAGAATTCCAGAAAAGCTGAATCTTTTTCAGCGATCCCCCCTCTTTTTAACCATTGATTTTACATGACTTTTCCAGTTGTTTGTTTCACTAGATAAGGATAATTTACGTGTCATTTCCATATATATATATATATATATATATTAGTGCTGGGCAAGTTAACGCGTTATCGCGTTAACGCATTTATTAATTAATGCCGACAATTTATCGCGCGTTAACGCAGTTTTTTTAAATTATTATTATTTTGAAAGTCCGTTGCTCACTGGCTCTGAATACACCATGATCAAACCATGATCACAGGAGGGATGGGATGTTGGTCAGCCAGCAAACAACCCACCCAAACAAGCAGTGGAGAGGCTTTGGCAGGTTCTCTCAGGTGAACAGAAAGGGAGACAGCGCTCCGCGAGTGAATGACAGGCGCTCTATGGATAGTAACCATGGCAACGGCTACTGTGCGCTACGCAGCTGTAGCCTTTTTAACTTAAATTAAAATTATTAGAGATGCACCGATTGATCGGCTGGTGACCGGAATCGGCCGATTTTCACGTGATCGGCCATGATCGCCGACCGGCCGGTCAGTCTGACATAATCCGATTTTATGCCGGTCAAATGCACTCGGGCGCCGCATGATTAACATCGCGCAACATCATCAGCATTACACGTGCACACGAAACGCGCACATGTAGGAAACCTCATGAATTACGGGCGTTTCACACCGCAAGCGGGAGCAGCGCGTTTTTTTAGTTTTTTTGTTTGGCGTGCATGTTAATCAATGAGTGCATTCACACCGGGAGCAGGAGCAGCGCGTGAGCGTCGAGCAGGGGCGTCGCGTGAGCAACAGTGAAGCGCGGGTTTCGGCGCCGATCGAGTCCATTTGTGCTGCGCTCAATTTAAGTGAAAGCACACTTTTGATGGACAAAATAAATATGATTTCATCCAAAAAGTGCCCAAAATGCACAGAATTTGCATGTCTGGTGTGTTTTAACAAGAACTGAAGTAGGCTGGCTATGTCAGAAAGAAAATGAAGAGACAAAAATATTTATAGAAAATGTACCCATTTAAACTTGTTTTTATTATTTCCCAATCGTTTCCCTGCACATGCCCCACTTGTCCTGTTTAGCTTGGCTGGACATGTGTCAGATGAGAGAAGAACTGTTTGAGAAATATAACTTGCCATTGATGTACAAGTGATTGCAATAGGCCTGTGTGTGTGTGTGTGAGAGAGAGAAATATCTTTATACTGCAAGGCAATATTTATTTTATTTTTATTTGTTATTTATATATTATTTTATTGTCATTACCTGTTTTCATAAAGAAGTTTAGTTTGCTAAATATCAAATTGTTTTAGTTGGATATTGGATGTGAAAAGGAAATGGTTCTTCCATAACACTGCACTTTAGATGTGTGTGAATTTCCCACACCAGGATTATCTGTTCAAAAAAAATGTTCTATCCAAAATGTTCTATTAAAGAGAAGATAGAAAATAAATATTTGTGTGTGCTGTAAAGTGGTATGAAAAAATGAAATCCCAATCGGCTAAAATCGGTATCGGCAGGTCAAACTCAAGGAAAAATCGGAATCGGGATCGGCCTAGAAAATTGTAATCGGTGCATCTCTAAAAATTATACATAAGGGCCGTTACATAGTCAACGCGAGCAAGGAACGCGAGCTACACGCTCCTTTTCATAGTACGCAAGCAGACGCAAGCGTCACCGGCGATGCGTGAAATGCAATACACCGATCGCGCAACAGGGGGTACTAGAGTCGGGTCACGTGATATTCAGATCAAAATGGCAACTGAAGAGGAGTGCATATTGCTGATTTTACATCGGCGGCAACAAAGTATGTATACGAACAAGCTCGCATAACTTTTCCTCTTCGCCCGCCATTGTATTCAAATCTTCTTCTTCTGTAAACATAATAATATACCTTTTTATGTACATTACTTGCAATGTCGCCCCCACCGACAACGCATAGAATTGTGTGCATCGGCGCGTCGTGTATCAAAAACTAGGATGACACATTTGGCTACGCATCGACGCATAATGGCGGCTGAAGCGTAGCGATGTGTAGCCTTGCGCACGCGTATGCGTACCGATGCGTTGACTATGTAAGGGCCCTAACTTTACCTGATAGGCCTGCGTTTAGTTTAGCGGGGATGCTCTGCCATGTGAATTCCCTCCTGTTGATGTCCTGATAACTATTTAGATTCTGGAAACTCACAAACAGTGAGCCGAGGATCAGTCTCTTCCAATGAGCAATCGGAGCAACGCTGCGCGTCGTGTACAAAAAGTTAGACAATTCAACTTCGGCAACGCGCGGGCGCGTGCGTGAGGCGAGCATGACCGCAACAGTTTCACAGGAACGCACCCGCTTGTCGCTGCACCTGTGCTCGACCACTTCACCTCACTCTAGGCTGATTTATACTTCTGTGTCGGACCTACACCGGAGCCTCTACGCTATAGACTACGCGTTGGTTTTCATTTATATATCTGCGTCGTTGTCCGCGTTGATGCGCAATTACACATGCAGAGGGAGAGTGTGAAACCCGGGGAGCGGTTCTAGCAATCACAGCGCTTGCGGTACGCGTAGAATTGACGTTACATTTTTGGAGAGATGCACGTCAGGGTACGCGCGCTACACAGCTACGGCGTGAGTTCGACGCAGAAGTATAAATTGGGCTTTACCTCTGTTTAATGTACTCTTTTACGTGGGAAACCATGGCATGCCATGACCAAACCTAAGCTGCTATCAGAGAAGTAACGTTGGTCGACTTATATCTGTAGTAGTGATCATGACCCTTTGACTACATAGACTGCTTCTGCTGCTCCCTGATACAAGATACCTGTTCAGAAAAGAAAAAAAGAAAACAAGAAAACTGGACTCGTTTTAACAAGCTAGATAAAAGGTAATACCCTGGCAGTGGCAAATAGCTTTGTTTAAATATTTGATTTGATTACATTAATGTTTAAGTTGAGATTTACAATAAATATTTTATTGATACTGTGTAAAGGGAATACTGCTGGTATAAAAGCACCTTATTTGTTTAAAGTTTTTGCAAACCACATGTTGTTGCACTTTTGTAGCAGTAGATTTAAATCGAAAGTGCGCAATACACTACTTTAGAATTCATTATTCAATTTTGCGCGTAACAATGCGATTAATCGCAAGAAAATCATGCGATTAATCGCGATTACAAATTTTTAATCGTTGCCCAGCACTAATATATATATATGGATAATTTACGTATCATTTCCATATATATATATATATATATATATATATATATATATATATTAGTGCTGGGCAACGATTAAAAAATTTTATCGCGATTAATCGCATGATTTTCTTGCGATTAATCGCGATTAATCGCATTGTTATGCGCAAAATTGAATAATGAATTCTAAAGTAGTGTATTGCGCACTTTTGATTTAAATGTACTGCTACAAAAGTGCAATAACATGTGGTTTGCAAAAACTTTAAACAAATAAGGTGCTTTTATACCAGCAGTATTCCCTTTACACAGTATCAATAAAATATTTCATGTAAATCTCAACTTAAACATTAATGTAATCAAATCAAATATTTAAACAAAGCTATTTGCCACTGCCAGGGCATTACCTTTTATCTAGCTTGTTAAAAGAGTCCAGTTTTCTTGTTGTTGTTTTTTCTGAACAGGTATCTTGTATCAGGGAGCAGCAGAAACAGTCTATGTAGTCAAAGGGTCATGATCACTACTACAGAAATAAGTCGACCAACGTTACTTCTCTGATAGCAGCTTAGGTTTGGTCATGGCATGCCATGGTTTCCCACGTAAGATTACATTAAACAGAGGTAAAGCCAATTTATACTTCTGCGTCGAACTCACGCCGTAGCTGTGTAGCGCGCGTACCCTGACGTGCATCTCTCCAAGCGCTGTGATTGCTAGAACCGCTCCCCGGGTTTCACTCTCCCTCTGCATGTGTAATTGCGCGTCAACGCGGACAACGACGCAGATATATAAATGAAAACCAACGCGTAGTCTATAGCGTAGAGGCTCCGGCGTAGGTCCGACGCAGAAGTATAAATCAGCCTAGAGTGAGGTGAAGTGGTCGAGCACAGGTGCAGCGACAAGCGGGTGCGTTCCTGTGAAACTGTTGCGGTCATGCCCGCCTCACGCTCGCGCCCGCGCGTTGCCGAAGTGGAATTGTCTAACTTTTTGTACACGACGCGCAGCACAAATCATTGGAAGAGAGAGTGATCCTCGGCTCGCTGTTTGTGAGTTTCCAGAATCTAAATAGTTATCAGGACATCAACAGGAGGGAATTCACATGGCAGAGCATCCCCGCTAAACTAAACGCAGGCCTATCAGGTAAAGTTATGTATAATTTTAATTTAAGTTAAGAAGGCTACAGCTGCGTAGCGCACAGAAGCCGGTGCCATGGTTACTATCTATAGAGCGCCTGTCATTCACTCGCGGAGCGCTGTCTCCCTTTCTGTTCACCTGAGAGAACCTGCCAAAGCCTCTCCACTGCTTGTTTGTGTGGGTTATTTGCTGGCTGACCAACATCCCACCCCTCCTGTGATCATGGTTTGACTGTAGGCCTATGTGTATTCAGAGCCAGTGAGCAACGGACTTTCAAAATAATAATAAAAAAAAACTGCGTTAACGCGCGATAAAAAAATTGTCGGCATTAATTAATAAATGCGTTAACGCGATAATAACGCGTTAACTTGCCCAGCACTAATATATATATATATATATATATATATATACACTCACCGGCCACTTTATTAGGTACACCTGTCCAACTGCTCGTTAACACTTAATTTCTAAGCAGCCAATCACATGGCGGCAACTCAGTGCATTTAGGCATGTAGACATGGTCAAGACAATCTCCTGCAGTTCAAACCGAGCATCAGTATGGGGAAGAAAGTTGATTTGAGTGACTTTGAACGTGGCATGATTGTTGGTGCCAGAAGGGCTGGTCTGAGTATTTCAGAAACTGCTAATCTACTGGGATTTTCCCGCACAACCATCTCTAGGGTTTACAGAGAATGGTCCGAAAAAGAAAAAACATCCAGTGAGCGGCAGTTCTGTGGGCGGAAATGCCTTGTTGATGCCAGAGGTCAGAGGAGAATGGCCAGACTGGTTCGAGCTGATAGAAGGGCAACAGTGACTGAAATAACCACTCGTTACAACCGAGGTATGCAGCAAAGCATTTGTGAAGCCACAACACGCACAACCTTGAGGCGGATGGGCTACAACAGCAGAAGACTCCACCGGGTACCACTCATCTCCACTACAAATAGGAAAAAGAGGCTACAATTTGCAAGAGCTCACCAAAATTGAACAGTTGAAGACTGGAAAAATGTTGCCTGGTCTGATGAGTCTCGATTTCTGTTGAGACATTCAGATGTTAGAGTCAGAATTTGGCGTAAACAGAATGAGAACATGGAACCATCATGCCTTGTTACCACTGTGCAGGCTGGTGGTGGTGGTGTAATGGTGTGGGGGATGTTTTCCTGGCACACTTTAGGCCCCTTAGTGCCAATTGGGCATCGTTTAAATGCCACGGCCTACCTGAGCATTGTTTCTGACCATGTCCATCCCTTTATGGCCACCATGTACCCATCCTCTGATGGCTACTTCCACCATGTCACAAAGCTCTAATCATTTCAAATTGGTTTCTTGAACATGACAATGAGTTCACTGTACTAAAATGGCCTCCACAGTCACCAGATCTCAACCCAATAGAGCATCTTTGGGATGTGGTGGAACGGGAGATTCGCATCATGGATGTGCAGCCGACAAATCTGCGGCAACTGTGTGATGCCATCATGGCAATATGGACCAAACTCCCTGAGGAATGCTTCCAGCACCTTGTTGAATCTATGCCACGAAGAATTGAGGCAGTTCTGAAGGCAAAAGGGGGTCCAACCCGTTACTAGCATGGGGTACCTAATAAAGTGGCCGGTGAGTGTATATATACACTCACCTAAAGGATAATTAGGAACACCTGTTCAATTTCTCATGAATGCAATTATCTAATCAACCAATCACATGGCAGTTGCTTCAATGTATTTAGGGGTGTGGTCCTGGTCAAGACAATCTCCTGAACTCCAAACTGAATGTCAGACTGGGAAAGAAAGGTGATTTAAGCAATTTTGAGCGTGCCATGGTTGTTGGTGCCAGACGGGCCGGTCTGAGTATTTCACTATCTGCTCAGTTACTGGGATTTTCACGCACAACCATTTCTAGGGTTTACAAAGAATGGTGTGAAAAGGGAAAAACATCCAGTATGCGGCAGTCCTGTGGGCGAAAATGCCTTGTTGATGCTAGAGGTCAGAGGAGAATGGGCCGACTGATTCAAGCTGATAGAAGAGCAACTTTGACTGAAATAACCACTCGTTACAACCGAGGTATGCAGCAAAGCATTTGTGAAGCCACAACACGCACAACCTTGAGGCGAATGGGCTACAACAGCAGAAACCCCACCGGGTACCACTCATCTCCACTACAAATAGAAAAAAGAGGCTACAATTTGCAAGAGCTCACCAAAATTGGACAGTTGAAGACTGGAAAAATGTTGCCTGGTCTTATGAGTCTCGATTTCTGTTGAGACATTCAGATGGTTGAGTCAGAATTTGGCGTAAACAGAATGAGAACATGGATCCATCATGCCTTGTTACCACTGTGCAGGCTGGTGGTGGTGGTGTAATGGTGTGGGGGATGTTTTCTTGGCACACTTTAGGCCCCTTAGTGCCAATTGGGCATCGTTTAAATGCCACGGCCTACCTGAGCATTATTTCTGACCATGTCCATCCCTTTATGGCAACCATGTACCCTTCCTCTGATGGCTACTTCCAGCAGGATAATGCACCATGTCACAAAGCTCGAATCATTTCAAATTGGTTTCTTGAACATGACAATGAATTCACTGTACTAAAATGGCCCCCACAGTCACCAGATCTCAACCCAATAGAGCATCTTTGGGATGTGGATGAACGGGAGCTTCGTGCCCTGGATGTCCATCCCACAAATCTCCATCAACTGCAAGATGCTATCCTATCAATATGGACCAACATTTCTAAAGAATGCTTTCAGCACCTTGTTGAATCAATGCCACGTAGAATTAAGGCAGTTCTGAAGGCGAAACGGGGTCAAGCACAGTATTAGTATGGTGTTCCTAATAATCCTTTAGGTGAGTGTGTGTGTGTGTGTATATATATATATATATATATATATATATATATATATATATATACACTAGGGGTGGAACGGTACACAGAAGTCACGGTTCGGTTCATACCTCGGTTCAGATATCACGGTTCGGTACGATTTCGGTACAATGGAGGAAAAAGCAAAACAAAAATGCAGAAGGCATTGTATTTTTTAAATAAGCTTTATTAATAAAGGCATAGAACCAGTTTATTTGTAGTGCACTGACAATAGTTTTATATAATTAGTTTATTAATTAAATTAATAAAAAGACAAAAAGACCTTGCGATATGTTTGGTAATTGTACTATTAATTTAAAATTATTTTGCTATATTTCAGATCAATATATTTGTTTTCCTTAATTTTAATTAACATTATTAATTGACAATGTAACATTATTCTCATCTGAATTATGAATAATTGATTTCTGTATAAAATAATACTACCATTAAAAACATTCGATTTTCTTTTTTTAATCAATGTAGAATGTGTAAGATTAGTGCTCCGAGGACAAGAAATGAAAACCAATGCAATATGACGAATGTCCAAAAGATGGGACCCACAGACTATTTTGAAATGGAGTTGGATAAATATGTTTTGCTTTTAAAACAGTGTGTGTGTGTGTGTGATTTTGGTTGGGTAACAGTTGTAGGTTACAGTTTGACAAGAGTTTACAGTGTGACAAAAGCACAATGTTGTGTTTTATTGCGAGTGTACACAAATATAAGTAAACACTTTGCAGGTTTAATGATCTGTATGAACAAAATGACTGAGTATGTTTTTTATGTTTCCACTGTTCGATCACGCGCCTCTCTCTCTCTCTCTCTCTCTCACTCTCTCTCTCTCACTCACACACACACACACACAGTTCGATCGCGCCCGCGCGCCTCTCTCTCTCACACACACACTTACACACACACTTACACACACACTTACACACACACACACACACACACACACACACTCCAGCATTGCAATCTTGACATCGCAGCCTGTTCATTATGCGGTCACGGTCACACCAAACGCGAATAGAGCGTCAAATTCGCGTCTAGTTCGACGCTAGTCCAAAGCGAATAGGACGCAAAGTTTGAAGTGAACGCGCGTTCAGAGCTAAGCCGATGGTACATATTATGTGTCCCTAAAGAATCCGCATATCTAACAGTAGTTCCGCATTGCATTAATTAATTTGCACGCGAGTTTTATTTATTTGTAGGCTATACCGTGTATTCTCCGTGTAAATTCGTGCACCGAACCGTGACGCCCGTACCGTTTCGGTTCGATACGAATACATGTACCGTTCCACCCCTAATATACACACAGTGTGGGGTGTAATTACATTACTAAGTAATTAATTACATGTTAAAATGTATTTTGATGTAACATGATTCCCTAAAATTCTTCGGTCATTTCATGAATAAATTATTCAATTTTTTTATTTGAAAAAATTAAAACAGCCGTTTTATGGCAATTTTTGTATAGCCCCTTTCACACAGAGATTCCGGAAAATACACGGATAAAGTGACCCGGGATTTGACCCGGGTTCGTTTGATTTTGCTTCATTCACACTGCCAGTGATTTGCCGGAATCAGAGAGCGCGTTCACACACAACCGTGTATGTTCCGGAAAGACGCGTGACGTTGGATGTGACGGGTCTCTACTTCAGTCCAGTTTGCAGACGTTTTTTCGTTCTTTCTTGTATCGATGACGAACACAAACTTTCCTCTAGAGTAACTGAGTCGCACGATAACTACGTCATTGCAAAGGCTCGTGAATCATCACTACGACCACGGCATTGGTTCTGGCTTTCGTTCACACAGCGCGCGTTCCGGGTCTGAACACGGCAATGTTACTAGGTCCCCAACCCGGCATCGATCCCGGCATCAATCCCGGGTCGTGTTTGCGTTCACACAGAAGGCACTCTGGCAATTTGCCGGCAATTTGCCGGGTTCAAAGCGCTGTGTGAAAGGGGCTTATGGTTCACCTGGTCAGGGTTGATAAGGGATTTAGAAAGTAATTAGTATTGAGTAATGCAATACTTTCTAGAGGGAGTAATTAGTAATCTAATTAAGTAATCTAATTCATTATTAATTTGTTAAATTTTTAGAGTAACTTGTCCAACACTGAGATATATACATTATGTATGTGTATATAATATTATTATTATTATTATTATTATTATTATTATTATTATTATTGTTATTTTAATGCTTGTTTTGTCTTGATTTAAAATAATTTTAAGTCATCTTGAGGCCCCCTTTGAAGTTTGCTGAGCTTCCGCAGTGTGCCCCAGGGCCTGTGGTAGAGGACTGCTATAAAGTGTTTATTATAAAGAATTTTTGTATCTGTTTGTATAGTTTAATCCTTTGCTGAGGGATATTTTTGGACTTGGACCTCCTCTCATCCTGGATGCATCTGTTAAAGCCAGCAGGATCTCCCGCACAGAGAGGGTAATCTCTCGTCTTTTCATTTATTAATGTAATATATCACACATACTGTGACACTTGACATCATAAAAAGTCTTAGTTTGCTGTCAGATTCAGTTAATTTTGTGAACTGTCTGTCAAGACAATTCATGCAAATAAAAGCAGCACCCTTTATTCTAAATTTAAGTTTTTGCACGCATATTTATGTAACTTTTGACTTGTCTCTTCACAGCATCTGTTTAACTCTGCTGCGTTCAAAGCTCGGACTAAATTGAGGAACAAAGTGAGGGACAAACGTGCCGATGTGATGTGAGGATGAAGGCGACAAAGAGAGAGAAACACTACATCCTTAAAATCCCCTCAGCTCACTTGAAATTATAGTTTGACATACTGCCAGGCCAGAGACTTGACAAAATGTGCGCGCGACTGATTGTATGTCTGCCTGTGTGCAAGTGCGAAAGGCCGGGTGTGTGTATGCGGTGTTTTTATTTAACATCACAGTGTGTGATAGCTAGGAATCCTGCAATTAAACTAAACATGAAATATTGTACCTTTGTAACAACCTTTTGTAAGGCTGTATTAAGCTTTTCTGTTGAAACCTGTTTTACCACCTCAAGAGTTATTGGGGAAGAAATTATTTTTATCATAAACACTTTTCACAAACTTTTTACCGTTCTGCAACAAAGAAAGAGGCCAAGAAAAATGAATTATTTGTAGTTTTTCTATATGCATTTTATAAACGGACTATGCTGATGCACCTATATTCTCATGATGCAAACAATTGAAAATGCATCTTGGACTGCAGGTTTCCTGAGTTAGTGTAGACGTTTTGTTAAACCTTTCTCACTGCCACTAAATCATCTGTTTTACATCATACTCATCTGCTGAAAAAGTGTGATTTTTATTTTATTTTATTGGCTCCAAGTGTGACACAGTAAATTAATATTCTTATCCCCAAGCTTATTTGTGCCTATTTAGATCATGCTTCCAACATTTGGTTGAATTTATTTCTAAATATCAAGTTACCTTGTCCTGACCTTTTTTTTTTTTTTTTTGTGAAAGTACTGTATACAACAGCCAGACTTTTGAAGAGAAATAAATTATGTAATTATCCTTCACAGAGTTGGAAGTCTTTTTGACAGACAAATGTATTTGTAGTAGTAAGACATTATGGCTTTCATTAAACCAAAGGACAGTAAAATTGCATCTCTCTTTCCTGGGTCTCCCACTCCCATTACAAATGTATATCATTAAAATGTGCTTGATAGTCCAATTTTTTATATTATATATGTTAGGAATGATTTGAGTGTGATGGTTTTAAATCGTTTGGGGTGTGATGGTTCGGCACTCTTGTTTTGTAGCTCTTTATTTTGAAAAGCTATTTACGACGTCTCCGCTCATGGGAATCTCGCGAGATTTTAGACCAAACAAATCGGGCTCTGATTAAAATGTTCAGCCATACAAGTCAACATACAGAGGTAAATTATAAAGTTTTTGCATACTTAACAATAAGGTCAGATCTATCACCTCAAATCGTGTCATGAACTAATAAGCAAACGTACCAAATACAGAGTTTAAAACGCTACAGGTGAGTAACAGTTTGATGCAGCGTCAGGAAGCGACCAACTGCAGACCTGCTAATCGGCCCCTGGCTGGAGAAGTCCGTCCAAGGATCAGCTGTTATTTCAGAGAGTTTTTGTAATGATTCATTGTCCCGCCTAATACAGATACCAAGATACCTTTAAACTTATTATTTATGGGGCCTGTCCACATGTTGACATTCATTTCGCTTTAAATTACATTGTTAGATTTAGAAATTGAAATTCCCTTTTTTTAATTTATAAAAATGCAGATTCAGATAGATTTGGTGCAAGCAAACATAATTTTGCCATGGATTATTTATCTAAATAAATAAGATTTTCATGTAGGCTACAAAGCCCATTATCAGGAGACACATTAAGGTGATGTTTTGTTCTTACATTTTCATTTCGTAGCTACACAAAACTATTTTACGAGGAGAGGAGCAGCCAACTCTGCAGAGATGTGAAGACTGTTGTTCCTTGTACCACTGCCCTTTCTGTGTGCCTGAGATGTTCAAACCCACCATCAAAAGCAAATGTTTGAAACATTTACAGGGTCACAGAAGAAGAGCAATACGACACAAAGGCTAGTACTAAATAATATGTGTGAGAAATTACATGCATATTGAATATTGATTACCTAAAAGTGTCTCAGGTAGTGAAGTCACAAGAACAAATTATTATTCTTTGTCTTACTATAATGGGTCTATAAAAGAGGACCCCTTTCCTTTTTATTCTCTTCCAGAATTCTTAATTTTCAAATGTCATTTAAAGTGCCGAACTGGTCCACACTTTCACTGTGTCAGCTGCACATCCACCTTTATGAGGAAAGATGGTTTTCTAAAACACCTGGCAATGTGTGACAACAAAAAACCCAAGATAACAGTTGTGGAGTTGAAATCAGAGAAGAATTCACCTGCACCAGATCTTCATCTGACTGCATCTGAGTCTGGCAGCTCTGTGGAGATGCCTGTCAGTGATGGACACAAGAGCCGGATCTCTGAGGATGCTCAGAAAATCAGACGAAGAAAAGCAAACTTTGAACAATACTTGTGCCCTAAAATGGTAAGTTTCTTTTACTTTTGTTTTTTATGTATATACACCACCGTTAAAAAGTTTGGGGTCAGTAAATTTTATTTATTTAAAGAAAGTAATGTTTTATTCAGCAAAGGGAGGCAATTGACAAAAGGTGACAGACATTTTTACAAAAGATTACTATTTTAAATAAATGCTGTTGTTTTCAAATGTCTATTCATCAAAAATCCCTGAAAAAATGTATCATGGTTTCCATAAAAATATTAAGCAACACAACCTTTTTGCACATTTATGTTTCTTGCGCACCAAATCAGTAGGCTATGTTACATAGAATGATTCCTTAAGGATTTGATGTATATGTATGTATGTGTATATATATATATATATATATATATATATATATACTGTATAATAAGGGTACGTTTACACAACAATTATGTCAAAACTGAAAAAAAATTCCTCTGTGTTTTGCTGTATTATGCTGTCAGGCCAGTAGTTAGCGATGTCACTCTGTAAAGAAACTACGCGCCTATAAACCTAACACGAAATATGCATGTGTGAGAAGTCACCATATTCACAGATTAGCATTTTTGTTACACGGAGACGGTAACTGTATCGGTTTAAGAACTTGCACCTTTGAAACCCGTTTGCGTTTTCAGGCGACCAAAACTGTTGTTGTGTAAAAGAATGGCCAAAATGCATAAAAGTTTTCCATTTTTAGTTGAAACCGCTGTCGTGTAAATGGTCCCTAAGACTAATGCACTGAAAATATTCATTTAGATGAATCATCATAAATAGATAGCAGAAAAATCATTCCTGTAAATCCCATAATGGGCTTTGTTGTGTTAATTTTTTTTGAAGCTGTGGAAATTTATATAAACATACTTTTCGTCCTGTGCATTTGCAGGCTGTAAGTGAGGAGACATTGAGCCCAGGGCCCACTGATTCTGAGATGGCAGACCAAGGGTCCACAGGTGATGAGCCTCATCAAACAGAAAACATTCTGCAGAATGCAATGTGCTCATCTTGACCTTCCATTTCCAGTGTGACAAAGGAACGAAGTGATATCAGGCACAGAGTTAAACATATTTTTATCGACTTGTTATTTGATCACAGTGCCAAAATAAAGACACAAAGCATAAGAATGCTAAATAAGTAAGGCAAGGCTCCAGTTGCTGAATTAAACAACATGATGTTTGGATTTATCCTTGCATGCTGTTTAACATACATTTTTAAAAACTATTCAGCGAACACTGCAGTATGTTATACAATGTGGAATGATAGTAGTTCATACTGAATAATAGCCTACTGTATGTAACCTTCCTTTTTACCACTTGCTCAACAGGAACATGAATAGTGCTGGCGAGCAGCTCATTAGAAATATTTTTGAGCTTTTAGGATCAATCTTTAGTGAGATGTTATAGATGTTTTAAAACGAGTCTAAGGCCTTTGTGTACTTAATATTCTGAAATCAATGAGCAGATTAGGCTGGAATACACGACAAAACACTTTTGCCCATTTATGCAGTCTGAATGCATCAATGCTAGTTGCTGAAAGTTAGAGCCAGTCTACAGATTTTGAGACGTCAGAGAATTTTGCAGAAAATTGCTAAATGTATGGTGGGCACCGAATAAATGTTTTTTTCCGCTTCAGACCATTACATGGTTGTTATTTTAAGATGAATTTAGAACATTGCTTTCATGGTTTCTGTGCGAGTGTGTTTGTTTCAGAACGACTTGAAAGTCTGGTAGTGTGTGATCATCTGTCGTTCGGCAAGTGAATGCCTACTGTTTTAAAAATCTGTTCAGATTTTAAAAGTAGTGCAGTGTATTCCAGCTTTAATGTTGGAATAAAAAGCAAGTTTCTATAGTCTTTTTTCCCCTATTGTGATATATCCAAATGAAATGACTTGTCAAACAGTGAAAAAATGTAGGGTGGGACTTGATTTTGTCCATTGGGAATTGATTGGATTGTTTAAATTGTTGTGGTTTGCTATTGCTGTGATGTCATGTGAGTGACAGGTTGTCCCGCCTTCGCACCAGTAAACAGAAGTTATTTTGATTAAAGATTATAAAGGCACAAAAAGTTTAAAAAAATGTGCACGGATTAATAATTTATAATAAATACTGCAATGTTCCATAACACAATCCCCAAGAATTGTCCATTTTGATTGCAGGGTGACTTTAAATCTGATTCTTTGTCAGTCTGGCTAGCCAAAAAACAGAACTATGAAATCCAGTGTGCAATGTATAATGAGTCTTATATATTAATATGCTCTGATCAAAGACCTTAATATTTTTACTCTCTTTAATCTCAGGTGAAGGAAGGATTATGGAGGAGCAGGTGAGAACAGATGAGCCATCTAAATCCCCAGTGGATGAAGGAGATCCTTCAGTGCTAAATCTCTCTGTAGTGGATCACAATGTCACAGAAACCACTGTCTCAAATTCTGCTGCCAATCCTCATCCTATAGAGGCTGATCTCGCCGTAAAGACTTTGGTAAATGAGATGTTCACTGGGCACACACCTGTTGAAAGCACCATCCCACAAAGATCCAAATCCGACGCACAAGATCTGTGTCCTTTCTGCGGTTTAATGCTGCACAGGAAGAATCTGCAGGTGCATTTAAGAAGGAAGCACCCAGATCAAGTTTTAAACCAGGAGAAACCTGCCTCTGCTCAGGTGAAACACCCAAAACAACAGAGACTCCCTTTGCGAAAACAACAGAAGGTGAGAGGAGAAATTCATCCTTTGCAAAGTTATTCTGCCTTTTTTTTACTCTTTAGAGCAGAGTTTCCCAAACTGGGGTTTATGAATTCCTTGGGGATTTGTGATGAAAATCTAATAATTAATGGACAATTAAAATAAATAATTTAAAAATAAAAACAAAATAAAACACTTACTTAAAGAGTAAATATTTGATTTGTTTAACTGCATGTCATGTGACCGTTTACTGACATCAGAGAATTGTGAATATGCATAGGCCTATGTATTGTTAAATTATTGAAATATTAACTTAAAATCTCTGAGGGATAAGCCATTATTTTAGTTCAAAGGGGTTCTTCTGAACAAAAAAGTTGGGGAATCCCTGCTTTAGAGTAAAGGGACAGTTCACCCAATTATTCTCCCTCATTTTATTCAAAATTTCTCCTTTTATGTTTTCCAAATGAAAGTCATACAAGTTTTCAATGACATAACAGTGATGACAGATTTTAATTTCTGGGTCAACTATCCTACAGTGGCCCCGTAGTGCACAACACAACGAAATGGAAGCACAAGTTAACACAACGAATCACCACAACACAACAGAAATGCTCACAAGCGTGTGCGTATATTTTTATGAGCAATATTTTTGTTATGGGAAAAACAAAACAAATTTGGGGCAACTATTGCGCAATCATTTCGCAGTACGTTTCTATTGACTCAGATGGTGGGTTAAACGTTAAAGCAAACATGCAGGCTTTTACTAGTGGCAATGGACTAAAGAAACAACTTTTGAACAGTTTTTACTGTACCAATATATTTTTATGAACCCTTGAAATTCCCATATGGGCCAATACATAGGAGGGTCTGTCTGCGTCCATTACAAGAAACGCCTACTATCACCCATGAAAGTTATACAGTAGGTGGCGCCGTGGCGGTAATACTCCTGGAGTGAACGGCCATTAAACATGAAGAAGAAGAAGAAGAAGAAGAAGAAGAAGAAGAAGAAGAAGAAGAAGAAGAAGAAGAAACGCCTACTAGCAAGCAACAACAACATTCCCACGGCCAGTCCAACGATAGACGCGCGAATTCTGTGTCGTCAAGATGGTTCAATGTCGAGATGAGAAAGTAAGTTATTGAATTAAATATTAGCTTTTGTCTTAGTTGTTGTTCATACAACGATATGGCATGTGGAATTTTAGTTTAACTAACGTTATGTGTGTGAACTGCAGTAACGTTACAAATAGGTTGGAAAATTAACTGATGTTTTAAATGTCAACTATGTCTCCCTTCAATTTAAGTGTGTTTGGAATGATATAACTGTAAATAGTCTTTAGTTTCCTTTTTTCCGGATTCAGGCGTGTCTTAATACGTTCATTAGTATTGAAACCCTATCTTCACACATACACGTTTTTGCAAATTAAATGTTAGTCTTTTTGGTTGTGACAATTATAAGTAATGTGGACTTTTAAGGAGTTCCAGTAAATATTTTATTTACTTCTAGTTTCATGTTACCATTCGGAATGAGGGAAGTTCTCCTGGACCTATTTCACTCGCTGAAAATGAGTACAAATGCCTGTTTTGTAAAAAGACTGGAGAGTATCCTGCTCTGGCGGCACATGTGCAGACCCACGAGAGGTCTGTTGTCAAGCATGGAGGTATGTTTTTTTTAGAGTAATGCTGTGAAATTTTATAAAAACAGACAAAATCATGTTGTCTCTGAAATGATTGTCAGCATGTAAAATTATGCATATGCATTCATAAAAGTATTTTGTGATATTTCTCTCTTTTTTTTTTACAGGGTATAAAATATATAAATGCCACCTGGGATGTATAGATAGTGGACACTATCACTGCTGCTACTGCCGTCAAAGTATAATTCGTAAAAACTTATTTATTAACCATGTGCAGAAGTGTGCATCAACCAAAGTCCACATTCCATCTACAGAACCTTCCAGAGAATGTTTAGAAACCTGTGCTTTAAAACCAACTAACTTTCCATCGTCCCACAGCATCTCAACAGTATATGCCACATGTGATCCTATCCCTAAACCTTTAACCACTCCAGGTTTACCTCGAGCTTTGACTTCTCCACCAGTCGCAAGCACCTCTGGATCTTCCATTATTTCTGCGCCATGCATGGTTGACCACAGTGCCTCAGAAACAGAACATTTTTCCAGCACTCCACGTACACCAAGTTCCTTGACAGGCTTCAAGACTGCTGTTTTACATCCTACAATTGTAATGCCCTCAGACAATCAAAATATTGTGTGTGCCAACCCAACTAAATGCATCTCCACCAGTAACAAAAAAATACTTAAGTGTAGGCCGAAGCGAACAATGTGCTGCTTTTGCAACAAGATTTTAAACAAAAAAAACATCAAAACTCACATTCAAAGACGTCATTCTTTGTCTACTCCAGATGTCAATATAAATCACCATCGTCCGTCAACGTGCATTGACCACACAAATGGAATTTCTGCTGTTGGAGGAACAGTCACTGGACCAGTAAGACCTGTACATGCTCAGAAATATACAAGGGGACATCTCCATAAAAGGGCCTGTGAATTTGAAAAGGGCTTATGTGCATTGAGTTTTTACAGAGGAGTGGATTAATGAGCCTATCCAGTGCATCTATCTTTGGTCATTAGTTTAGTGTCTTATTTCTACTGTACAGTCTTATTTCTACTGAAGATGAGACATCTCTCAATAAGGAAGGTCTTTCAGAGGTTATCAGAAATAAGTGGATTTCTGATAAATCGTATAGCAAAAAAAATGTCACCCACCTCATTTTACTATAGGTTGGGGAGAACATTGGTTTGGTACAAAAAAGAAATCCTGCGCTTTTGAAAGAAAGTTCAGGCAATGATGTTGTATTAAACTCCTTTGCAGATTTATCTTGTGAATGATAAATTTCAAACTTCAACTTCAAATTTCAAAACAAATTGTACACTGTAAATTCGTATACCTATAAATCACTTGGCTAATTTCAAATGCAATAAATGCAGCTGAAGGGTTTATTTAAAAAATTAAATAAAAGTCAGTACACTATTTTTTTTTTCTAAATTAGGATTTTGTTAGACCATTAACCTCTAATATAAGCCCTATGGCAAATAAATTAGTGGGGGCATTTTTGTTGTGTTGTGGCTTGTTTCTACGGTTTCTGGTTTGATTCTGCATTAATTTATTTGTATATCTGAAATTCCTTTTCATCTGGACCCACGGGGTCATAAAATAATTTCAGATTAAAGATAAATAGCAACGTTGCAGTTTATGCAGCTAAAAAGAATTGGACAATATCATAAAAAGGCAGCAAACCCAATACTTTGCTCTTAATACTATGGGTTAGATTATTATTCTTAAACACAAGCAGTTCTTAAACATTGGCGCTGTCAAAATAAAGAGCATGGTGTCAAAAGTGTGATGAATAAACCGAACCACCCCTCATAGCCGCAGAATGGATGCGTCCGCAGAGAAAGCATTTTGACCGCTGTTGAAACATCGGCCCTCTTCGACACTCCAGCGATTTCCCCCGATCTCACTCTTCTGTCACGACAGTCCACTTTCACTCGACCGGCGCGGATCATTGACATGCGTTGCGGAGGAGTGTCTGTTGTTGTTTTAGCCAGATTTCGTTTGCGCCTTTCTGGCCCATATCTATTGTAAGGTGCGATCGGAACCGGTGCTACTTTTTAACGTTATATTAACCTCTATTTTATGAATATGTTGCTTTATTATTGACAGAATAAACATTTTAATGAGCTTACCGGAAGTGTATCATTATCATAGCGTTATACCGGCCAGTGAGATAAAAAAAAAAAAAAACAGTTATTTAATGGGGCAAGAAATATTGCCTAAATGTGGGACTAGTAACTAATTAAAAATTAGTTGCGTTACATGTAACAAATTTTGAGTTTTGAATACTGCTGTGTACTATGTGACATATTATGAACTTCAGTTTATATACTGTATATAGTCAGTGGGCTCTAAAGTATAAAAAAAATGGGTTATTAACAGTCTGTTCCCACAAGTACAGTAAGGTTGGTTCAGGTTTGGCTGCTCATCAGGTTTGTTTACTCGTGTTGTTTTTGGTTTATGTTGTTAACTGGTAGTTTAATGTTTGTGGTTTCAGGTTGCAATGGAGAGCCCGATCAGAGATGTGTTCAGACACTGTATCAGGTTTCCTGTGCCCATTTCGGCCTCTGTGGTCACTGAAGAGCTGGTGGACACTGCCACTGACAAGCGGTGCATTACTGTATTGGCCCGTGAGTTTAGTGGAGAGTTATGTTGTGTTGTTTTATTTGCATAGTTTAGTGATATGAACACTTCATGGTGCTAGCTTTTCAACACTCTTTCTCTGTAGGATGGGGTCAGTGTGATTTGGAGAGAGGGGTGAAACTGCATTTCTCTCAAAGATGGGCTCTACTGTGTAAACACGACACAATAGAGCACGTTCTGCCATCTGGAACAAGCTCACACATAGAGAAAGAGTAAGATATGTATGTATGTGTGTATATATATATATATATATATATTATATATATATGCAGATATTCATGTGACCTCAAGAGGTAAACAGAAAGATGGTTTTGACTACAAGTAGACAACACGCCCGTCATCAAAATTCATCTCTCACTCAGGTTGCTCAGCTGCCAGTCTCCTTCTGGGACTCTTCAAGCTGTCATCCGAGAGGAAGCAGAACATCAGTACCTGGAGGTAATGACTGATATCTATGAAATTTACATTTGAATGTGAGGAAAATATATTAATTCTCTTTGTTTTTCTTGGTAGGTTTGGGGCCAAAATGGTCTGGAGAAAAGCTTAGACCTCATAGCTCTGAATAAGCATGGAAAAGTATACGAAGATGGTAAGAAACACTTTTTGTCCGTGTTACAAACCAAGAGTCTCGAATCACTGGCCCGTAGGCCGAATATGGCTAATTGTGAACAAAATTACTGTTGAGCTCGTTCTTTGTAGTGAATCAGGCCTATGTCTAAAATGAGGCTTTAAATCTAAAAACTAACTCACTCACTGGACCATAAGACATTTTCAGTCATGTCTCATTTGGGATGAACCGAGAACCTTTATATGAGGTGCACTTCAGGTTTGTGAGAGTTCTATCAGTCTACAACTGTAAAACAAGAAACTTCTCTCTTTTGCGTTTTGTGACTGAATGGAATCTGGCTTATGGTACAATGATGTATAAATCTTCGTTGATGTGTTGTTCTGGAGGCAGTCATATGCAAATGTATTTGCCAGTATGATGTCACAGGTCACCCAATATCAGAACGAGCTGTTTTTGGAGCTTGATTAAATAATTGCTTTGTTTATAATGTGGAGGATGTTTTAAGCTATGACACTTGCTGGATGTTCTAATAGTTCAAAGACCTTATATGTCATAAGATTTCTCATTATTCCTTTCAAAATAGACATGTATATTGAGTGGTTCTGTAATTTGGATATTAATGATTCATTTTAGTGAATCAGTGGCTCCCTATTGATTTTAACCTACTCTGTCTACAGCCCTGATCAGTGTGTAAGGATATTGGTCTGATTGTGTGTACTCTTTCTTTGTGCATCATTAGCTCAGTTTGCATGTTTGGCCTGGTCACCATGTGAAAAGAAGTTACTGTATGTGGCTGAGAAGAAGAGGGTGGAGCCGTCAGCTCAATCATCATTTGCATCAGTCAGTGAGGATGGAGGGCTGGTGTTGCTTGAGGAACAGGTGAGATGTCTGTCTATCAAATCATCTCAACTGAGCTTATCCCACATGTAGCTTTGTGCATTAATAACTGTTGTAACTAGATGTTAGAAGAAATGCATTTGAGGTTTTAAAAAGCTTGTGACATTTCTCAGGATAAGAACGTGTATATTGAAGACTGGGGTGAGGGGCTGGTGGGTAAAAGCTGTCCAGTCTTGTGTGTAGCTGATCTCAATAAAGCTGCAGTCATTGTGTATGCTGGCATCCCTCCTAATATATCACCAGGACAGGTGAGACGGATATATCTCACTATTCTTATTTACCCAATTGATAATCGTTATGTTATTATGCCATATTGGCTTTAAATGGTAGATGTTATATCAGTAATCTCAAATTCAAGTGCTTTAAATAATAACTGAATTATTAAATACTCCTCCCTCTCTCAAGGCGCTGTGGGGGCCTAATGGAAGGGGTGTGATGTTTGTGGGCCAATGGAATGAGCCATTCAGACTGGGTCTGAAGTTCTGCTCCAATCGTAGGTGAGAGGCGGGTGTTAGAGAAAGCTTCAATCCCTAGCTTCAAAGCTAGTACTTCTCCTTAGAAAAATTGATTCAGTTATATTTCCATCCTCAAGTGCTACTATTTAATACGATGCTTATCTCAGTTGGCTGACTTACTCTGTGGCAAGGTTTTAAAATATAATATTTTGCTGATTTTCTTTTTTTTCCAGATCAGCTCTCTTCTACTTGAATATGAAAGGGAACTGTGGTGAGATTTTTTAAACATTTTTTTTATATATGTATATAGAAACGATTGTATGTATGCACTTTTATAACCTCTTTTTGTTCAATTTGATCTTTGACCTGGTCAGAGTGCTTGTCATCTGACAGCATGTCTGTGTCGAGCCCTCGGATGAGTCCAGACTCGTGTTGGATCGTCTACTTACAGGGCCAGGTCTTTGGACCACATCATCAGTGCCTGAGCATGATGTTGGTAAGAATGCAAATAATTGTTTAACATAATGTAATAATATTTCACTTAGGAATGTTTAGATGAAATGCTAAACTGGAGTATTTTGTTTAATATTTATTATATTATATACTCAAGTTAGGGGCCAGTAATAATTTTATTTTTTATTTTTTTATTTTTTAAGAAATTAATACCTTTACACAGCAAGAATGCATTAAATTGATTAAAAGGGTTAGTAAATGCTGCTCTATAAACTTTCTTCTCATCAGAGAATCCTGAAAAAAAGTGCATCATGATTTCCAAAAAAAACCCAGTAGAATATTTTCAACATTGATAATAATAAGAAATGTTACTTGAGCACCAAATCAGGATATTAGAATGATTTCTGAAAGATCATGTGTCACTGAAGACTAATGACTGCTGAAAATTTAGCTTTGCCATCACAGAAATACATTTGTCATATTTTACAATAGAAAACAATTCTTTTAAATTGTAACAGTATTTCACAATATTACCTATATTCTTTTTTTTATTACTCTATATTTACTTTGATAAAATAAATGCAAAATTGATGAGTATAAGAGACGTTTCAAAACTCTTACCATCCCCAAGCTTTTGAACCGGTGTGTGTGTGTGCGCGCACATTTAATATTATATTATACATATTATATTTATTATTAAATGTATTAAACTATTTTCTCTGATTTTGTTTGTCCCTTTTAGTATGATATGAAGAACAGAAGCACTTCGGTTTTGGTAGATGTGGTCAGGAGAGCAGAAAAGGGTACTTGGATAAAAACACATGCACACATTGAAGAGTGAGGTCAAGTCAGTTTAATTTGTGTAGCACTTTTCACAATGTTTTCTTTCCTCACAGGTCAGTTTGCTGGTATATACGAGTCGTTGCCGTCTCAATGCTGGTCTGCAGACAGTGAGAGAATCTTCTTCAGCAGTGCCTGTGAAAACAATAAGGTTAACAAATACATAAATGTACATGTAGCTGAGGACAAAAAAATACAGGTGCTTTACCAAAATAATAAAAAAGTGCAAAAAAATTGTTGGCACACTGTTAAATAGCTTGCATAGAAACCTGTGTGAGTCCCTTGTCTCCACTATGTGGATTCTGAATTTCTAATTCCTAGTGTTAAGATTTTGTGATTTTTGCACCATCTGTTCTTTTAGGCAGTTTTCTTAGTCAACAGAACCACAGGAAGAGTCTCACAAGTGTGCGGGCTGGATGTGCTAAGACTAGGTAGTGTGAATATGGAGCGATGTCATGACTGCTTTGACTTCAGGCTGTTTGTTATCTTTACTATCAGTGTCATTGCATTTGTGACTTTAATTCTGTATTTTTGTGTTTGGTAGATGATTTCGGGAGTGTGCAGTTGTTGACAATACAAAAAGAACTGATGGTGATGAGCTGCTCGTCTCCAAATCAGCCACCCTGCCTGGTACAACCACACACACACACACACACACACACACACACACACACACGTGCACACACTTTACTAAAATAGTCACCTTCACTGAAGATACTGCATGACACAGCTTTGTGTGTTTTCTGTAGAGAGTTGGCTTCCTCTCAACAGTTAATCAGGCTGAGGATTTGCAACTTTGTAATCTGGGTGGAGCAGATGTGTATGAGGAATTTTATTGGCAGCCCATGTTGATCACACCCTCTTCTCAAGAGGAGAACCATCAGTTCTGTGAGTAAGATGGATCTATCATCAGATATACAGCCACTACTAGCAATACTTCTTTGTGATTTTTCTCGTTCCTCCTCTCTGCCTCTATATAGCTGGACTGAATTTCGGAGCAATTTTGTTGAAGCCTTACAGTCCACAAGAGAGAAGAAAAACTCCTCTAGTGGTGAATATACACGGTAAGGCTGGTACTTCTTTCATGTAATTTTAATTCAAATTTCCCTTTCTTCAAATATCTAAGAGATGTTGCCACAGTTATTCTGGATTTAGTCTGTCTCAGTTTTTTCTGTTTTTGATGTAATAGATGATGGTGAGATCAGATCATACCGGCTGTTGTCAGACTCCTTGTGCATACAAAAATCTCACTGGATTATTACAATTGATGACAAAAGAAATACTGGATTTGTAAACTGATATTTCCTACTGACACTGCAGTAAAAGATATAAATAACTGGCTTAAAACCATTTTTTGGGTGAAAATACTAATGTGCTTTACTACTTTAGCACTTTAAAGTCCTACTTTACTTTACTACTTTAAAGAGTACTTTACTCGCAATAATCACGGTTGTCTGAAATAATCACGCTAAACCAAATAACCGCAATCAAATGGTCATTTAATAATCGCAACAGGCCTAGTTAAAACTTGAATACAGTTATCAGATTTAAAAATACCTTGCGCACATGTGCAGTGCTGTGATGCATATGTTTACGAGAGCCCTTTTATAGTAAAGTTTGTGCTAATGCTTTGTTTGGAATACATAAATGTAAATTGGACTGCAAAGTTTAGGGTTCGTATAAACATAACTTTCAGAATCTGAAATTGGATTGGACTAATTCGGATTGTTGAAAGTTACTGCATGTAAACATACCTAAGCCGCATTTCCACCGAAATTACCTGGAACAATTTGTCCCAGGAACTTTTTTTCCCCTCCAGACCTGTTGCTGTCTGCATTTCCACCGCAATCTAAAAGTACTGTGAAGATGCGCGCGACTTTACAGTTCCCGCTGGATTTCATCCTCTGAATTTAAGCATAATGAAGCCTGAACCCTGTCGTCGGTCCATCGGTCATATTTTTTTAACTCTGTAAACATTGTAATTCGAATAGCAAACAACTTTTACTACACCCACCTCAACAGACGGTGGTTAAAATAAAATGCTGCGTGAACTCAACCAATCAGCATGTTCAGCGCCCAAGTCCCACCCCTGAAAGTTCCTGAACTTTGAAAAAGTATTACCCTTACGAGCAGGGACTTTCGGAGGGGGAAAGATTTACCTGGAACTTCATTTAGACCCTGGTTCCTGCGGTGTAAACACACGGAGTACCACCTCAAAGTCCCTAGTTCCTGGGGAAAGTTCCTGCGTTGGAAACGCGGCTCTAGTAAAGTATTTCTCTCTGCAGGTGGTCCTCATTCTCATTTCGCTGCTGACTGGAATGCCACAGCTGCTGCTTTAACCAAACTTGGCTTTGCTGTTCTTATGGGTGAGTGTTCATATGTCAATTCTTGTTCCTGTCACAACATAAACAAATCGAAAATGAACACTGAAGTATTTTAACATTTTGTGTGTTAAAGTGAACTACAGAGGCTCCACTGGTTTCGGTCAAGATGGCATAGAGTCTCTGCTTGGAAATGTTGGCAGTCAGGACGTCAAAGATGTTCAGGTGTGTATATGCACAAATAACATGTGCCTGTTAAAAAAAAAGTATTGCATTAGCTTGTTTGTCATTCTTTGTGTCCAGAGAGCAGTGTTGTGCGCTTTGCATAATGAGACTACTCTCGATCCTGATAGAGTGGCAGTGATGGGTGGCTCTCATGGTGGATTCCTGGCCTGCCACCTTGTCGGTCAGTATCCAGCTTTCTACAAAGCATGTGCAGCACGAAACCCCGTCATCAATGCTGCCACGCTGCTTGGGACCAGTGATATCATAGACTGGTAATGTATCATGCTTACATTCATTATTACTAGGGCTGTGAAAATGGTTGAAAAACTAGATTTGAATTTTATACTTAAATATGACTAATATTGAAATTTAAAAGGCATAATTTCACTTTTGGCTTGTCTCCTGAGGCCACAAGGGGGTGTAATGAGCTAAATATTAACTCTCCACATTATATTGTTTATTCAAAGCAATAAAATAACATTACTGTAAAAAAAAGTGCATAACGTTTAAATTAACGTTTATAAATCAAATGTAATTTTGTAAATTGCTTTAACAATTATGATTAAAACAGCATCATGTATATGTAACCCCTCCGGTTCTACTCGACCCGCTCCGAGCGGGATTCAAACCGGCATGAGAGGCGGGCGTGCTAACAAGGACGCTAAAGACCGCAGTCTCTAGCGTCAGTCTCTTGAGGTCAGGGGAGTGAGGTTTACTAACTTGCACAGCTCTTACTAGCTGGCCTCTGTTTACATATATGCATAGTTTAATACAAAGAGCCAAAGCACTGATCACACAGAGTGCTTTTTTTCCTTAAAAAAAACATGAGATGCAGTGGAATAGAAAAAATCCCCACTAAGTCTCGAGACATGTTTTTTGAAAGATTAACTTCTTTTAGCTTTACATGGCTTTTTAAACATGCAGCTCTCTTGTGCAAGATGTAAGTGCAACGTTCAAAGATGTCCTTCTAGCGCATGTAAAACAATAGAAAAGCAGAACAGAAAAATGTGTTCTGTGTGAAAGTCTTGGTTATGGTTTCGACGTAACCAAGATCTTCTCTCTATTTAGCTTCTCAATTTCTGCAATGGTTTGAATAAAAAAAACACAGCAGCATTGCCTCTAGTGAGTTCAAATGGATAGGCTAACAAATACATTAAAGGCATACTATGCAGAAATTGTGTTTTTGTCAAACAGCGACCCCTATAGTCGCTGTGGAATACTTGCACTGTCGTAAATAGCTAGCTAGACATATGTGGAAATTATTGGACTGGTCTAATTATCAACAATGGACGAATGAACAGCATCGTAAAAAAAATGACATACTACAAGCAAGCGCAACAACATAGAACGCAAACAAGTTTAGAAATAAGAGATTTATTTACTAGTCCATCAACAAGATCGCCAGATCAGCATTGCGGTTGCATCCAGTGCTGCTTTTTAGCTCGCGCCGTCTAGTGAAAGCCCGACCGAGTGCGACTGTCACAACTCTGAAGGAAATAGTCAAAGGATTCAGTTGCGAGTAAACAGTAATTTATGGAGCACAATAGTAGATTTTTGTGTGGGTCAAAATGGAAGCAGGCAGAAGAAGACTCAGGCTCGGCAACGCAGGGACGCAGTGGGCAGACACAGATGCAGGAACAGGTAGAAATTCCTCCGGGAAAATCTCAGGAAACCACTGCATGGGTACAGGACTGGAATGCAGGAGAACACGGCGAGTAGAACCCTGGTAGCCTCAACAACCATCTGACAAAGATAGGACGAGGTAACAAACAATATATAGGACATCCTCATTCAAAACAGCTGGCGCTGATCAGCTCATCAGCCGCGCTGATCAGCCGCGCCCACTCACACAACACGCGCACACACATAGCGAGGGCGAATCAGGGACTCTTTTCCGGTTCCTCACGCGGTCAGATTCTCTTTTCCTTTTCCTAATCTCTTCCGACCGCGTTTTCTTTCCTTTTTTCATCGTCGAGTATCACGTCTGAAATGCGCGCAAGTGTCTTCATGCTTCATATGTTGTTGTTGATGTGTGTGACGTCGTTGCCGTAAAGCATGTCGTGATTCTTGCGAGATTTGTCGGGGGCGCTCCTCTCAAACTTGCATTGCTGGTTTTTCCAGCGGCGTCCCCCCCAAGCTTTACTACCAGGATGATTCACCCTACTATGAGTTTGTTTACCACCGAAATGACTTTGAAGCTGTTATATTAAGGTACAATTCTTGCATAGTGTGCCTTTAAAAAGCAACAACTCTTGCATCATCATCGTATCTCGTATATAATGCAGTAATGTAGTATTGCCTTAGTATTCTGAAGTTATCATGTTAAATCTGTTGGATAATGATCAATATACTGTATTTCAGTTTTTACAGTGGCCAAAGGTAACTAATGGTGTTGTGTGCTTGTACTGCCCCTACAGGAGATATTCCTCTGTTGGGCTTCAGTATGCTTTTGACCAGTTGCCCACATCACAGTCCCTCACTTCCATGCTGGAGAAGTCACCTATAATACACGCTGCACAGGTATACACTGACACACACACACACACACACACACACACATTTTTGAACTATCTAAATAGGGATTTCGCACAGACTTCTATTGGTTTTATGTACAGCTAGTTATGAATACTGAACCCTAAAACTTGCTGCATTTTTACAGTTTATTTTTAATTTTATACCATTTTTTACAAATGAGGACAACCCTAAAAGGAGGTTTTTGGGTTATTTCTTAGGTTTAGCACATTTCTGAGTACAAATTTGTCATCAAACTATGCACACTCACACACAGACAGGAAAAGTGATTAATTTACAATAGAGAATTTCTTGTGTAGCATAATAAGCTTAATATGTAAATATTAAACCTTAATGTGGTCTGTGTATGTGTGTTTAGATCCGAGCTCCTGTTTTGTTAATGCTGGGCGGGAGAGACAGGAGAGTATCGCCTCACCAGGGTCTGGAGCTCTACAGAGCACTCAAGAGCAGGAATACACCTGTCAGGTACACACACACACAAACAAACACCATCATTTAATATACAAACATACTGACTACTCATATTATTTGTCACTAATAGTGATAGACCAGGCTGATTTAAACAGCCAGTATATGCCCATTTTAAGATGATTGGTTTTGGCCATTAACATTTTATTGTATTATCAAATGTAATTTATTCCTGTTGTGGCAAAGCTAAATTTTCTGGATCATTACTCCAGTCTTCAGTGTCACATGGTCCTTCAGAAACATTCTATGCTGATTTGGTGCTCAAAAAAAATGTTTTTCTTTTTATCAATGTTGGTGCTTTTTTCAGGATTTTTTGATGAATAAGAAACATTTATTTGAAATAGAAATATTTTGTAACATTCATAAATGTCTTTGCTGTCACTCTAAATCATTCTAAACGTAATAAAAGTATTAATTTAAAAAAAATCTCACTGACTCTTCAGCCTGCTCTTTCTTTATCTCTCTCTCTCTCTCTCTCTCTCTCTCTCTCTCTCTCTCTCTCTCTCTCTCTCTCTCTCTCTCTCTCTCTCTCTCTCTCTCTCTCTCTCTCTCTCTCTCTCTCTCTCTCTCTCTCTTTTCTCTGTCTGTTTCTCAGGTTGTTGTGGTACAGTGATGAGGGTCACTCGCTGTCTAAAGTCAACACTCAGTCTGACTGCTTCTTCAACATCGCTCTGTGGTTTAAAGAACATTTAAACTGACATTTCTCAGAAGCTTTTTTTATTTCTGTCTGCACATTATTGTGACATTCTTGCCAAAACTGTAAAAGTCTATGAATGCTGCACTGAAGCTAAATGTACATGCTATGGAGGTCACTGTCCATTAGGGGGCAGACCTGTCTGTTAAATCAGCACTGCTAAAACAAGGGGTCAAATGCCAAAGCATGGAGTCTATGGCCGTTTCTCAATACCAAGTACGCAAACTTCGGACTTGCGTCCTTGGTAGTTCGGACTTGCCAAGTTCGACTCAGGAGAACGAACTCCCGAGGACGAGAGGACGCGAGTCCAGTTATTCTGCAAATGGAACAGTGCGTTCTTGATCGCGTCACTCAGCGCGCTCTGGCTACTCCGGTTATCTCTTTATGTATATTTTAGGCAACAATAAAACGAAATATGCGACAACTCTGCCTCTTTTCGTCAACAATAAAACGAAATATGTTATAAAACACCACTCTGCCTCTTTTCATTTAAAAATCTTAAACATAGTAGCCTAATGGCCATGTGGTTCAGGCAACGCGTACATCTTCACTGCATTTATTTATTTATAACAACATGAACATGATCTTTTTGTTTTCATTTTAAAAATAGGAAACATTATTGATTTTTATTGACATTTAACAAACAGAGACATGGTACGTTGTGTCATTTTATTTTATTGTACATATAGTGAAGAGAATGTTAAAATAAATATATATATATATATATATATATTTTTTTTTTTAAGTATATAAAATACAATTACACAACCCTGTCTCTTTTTGTTAAATGTCAGTTTTAAAGATCAATAATATCTACAATGATAAATAAGGCAAACAATTCAAACATAAGTAAGCTCTCTAATAGGCTACAAAGTTAAAGTTAAATAGCCTAAATATATAAAGTTATGAAACTTCACTTTGCCCTCAGCCAAAACGATTTTTTTGCCATGGAACAAACAATAGTTTAATGAGACCAAAGATCGACTTATACACAAGACGAATTATACGTCAAGTTTATCCACTAGACTAGAGACATCAGAGCCAGCGGCAAACGTCAAGCACTAGCCGAGGAAAAGCTGTTCCAGTCGGGGTTGATGAGCATTGAACACCCGCGGTGAACGCCTGGATGTCACAACTCCGAAAACATCAGATACATTTTTCAAATAGGCGCTATCTTTATAAATAAACCACAGATTTGAGTTTTAAACAACCACATTCTCGCCTGAAATCTTCTTAAAATTACATTTCATGACACAATAACAGTAGTATTTTGATATTACGCGGGTTTTCTCCTCTGCTATTGACGCTTGCTGGTTTGTGCGAGATGCATTCTGGGATACCTGGCTGTCTCAAGTCCGCACAAGTCACCTCTCGATGCATCCTCGGTAAACGGGGCGGATCAAGAACACATCCGGGGATTTGAACTGGACTTGGCTAGATGTGAACTTTGAATTGGAACAGTACTTGGGCAGTGACTGATGACGTTTCACAAGTCCACAAGAACACAAGTACAGACAAGAACGCATATTGAGAAACGGCCTATAAGTTAAGAAATCTGAGCTCATGTACTGAGATACTCAACTATTATTTTCAGAATCAATTTCTAAACATCCACTCTTTTGTGAGAAGTTTGCTCTTCATTATGATTTTAATGGAGAGTAACATGGCAATATTTTGATTAAATCTGTTTGACTTTAAATACATTGACAAGGTGATTGTTTGTAGATTTAAATTAGTTTGAATATTAAATATTGTACATTTCAGACAGGAAGTACACGAGAAGAACAAAAATCTATTTTCTAGTTTCAGAAATGTATCTGCAGAGATTCAAACATTCCATGTTTATAAACATGATACAAGAGGGAAATGTGTGTCATTTATTTTGGACAATGTACATGCGCTTCATCCAGGTGTGCATGCTAGCTTTGGTGGCTGCCGTAACAGCTCACATATCTAAGACTCGTGTCTATTTCATTTACAGCCGCTTAAGAAAGATCCTTCCTTCAAAGATTTCTTTGTTTCATAGTTTTAGCAACATTCTTGTCCTTTGAACACTTAATCCTTAAATCCCCTTTGACAGATTCATTCAGCTCTTGTGTTTCTGTCGTGAATTCTGTTTTTTAAATTAATATTATTGGGTATTTTGGTTTGCCGTTTGTGGTATGTTGAGCACCAGCCAGGTTTATATTACAGTGTTTTAAAAGGCCAATTGTAGCATGAGGTTTTTCAATATGCTGGCAGTCTCAGGGGGCAGATTGCTTTATAACCTGTTAAGATTGCTTTGCTAATGACCGACAGAGAGACAGAAGTAGAACACAACAGGTCATCTGAGACCACTGCCAGTATGTGTGTGTGCGTAAGAGAGAAAGAGAAAGAAAGGTCTGTATTATTATTCACCCTTTGATCGGGTTTGGTGTAGGTGTCTGGGTCTTGTCAGGTCAAATATCATTAGGTCTTTTCTCTCTGTCTCCATCTGCCTAGCTGCTGGAAGACTTATAAGGGAAGATTAAAGAGCAAGGCAGAATTTGAGAATAAACACAAACAGCAAAAAAGCAGAAAATCATTGCCAGGGGGTGAAAAGCAGATGAGAAGCAGATTAGAGGAAGTAAGGAGAAAAATCTGAGTAGTTTTAAGGTCACACTGAGTAGAGGGAGACAGGGCTAAAAATGAGCCACTGTTTTGTTGGTACTTTCATGAGCTCTGTGTAATAACTTAACGAAAACACAAAACGTAGCTTTATCTGATGGCTCAAGCATTTTTCCCGAGAATCCTGGGAGTTGGGACAAATCCAGTAGGCCTGGGGTACGTTGAATCAACAACCATAAATATGATGTAGACAGAATCAGTGATTGTGGATTGTGCACTGAATCGATCTAAGTTGTCAAAATACTATAGCATATTAAATGAAATCCTTAAATCCGACTTTGTTATACTTTGGTTCATGTTGCCTCAGTTGCTTTTGGTCATTTACAAGGTACAAGTTTTCTGTGATCTTAAGGTAGATCCCCGTTTTTCAAACTGATAAATGGGTATGGTAATACTGGCTGTATTTTATTTTCGCCTGTTAAAAAGAAAAAGGATACAAATCAAACTGGCACAACTTACCCCACTTATTGGCTCATCTTACACCAGGCCTGAAGTTGTTCAAAACTAGTGGTCACTGTCCATCCCATAAAAAGGTGCCCACCCATTAGAGATCAAATAAAATTGACTTTTTATCATAGTTTTTACATATTTCTTTTATGGATTATTGGCTGTCATCTGCATGTATATTTTTGCAATGTGCTGTCTGTCATATGTAGACAAGTTTCTAGGTCATTTCTGGTGCCAAGAGATGAACTTTTTTTAATTCAAATTCAAATTTTAAACAAGTCATTTAAAAGCAGTTGTTTTAGTACTAATTATATACTATTATTATAGTATTTATTCATATTTTTAATTATCTTTTTTATATTTAAAGTTTTCATTCTCATTTTATCAATGCGCTTTTGTAATTGTTATTAGACTATTGCAAAGAAAAAAAACAATTTGGCTTATCAATATATTTAAAAAAAGACCCATCGTACTGCAGTGTAACTAAATTCCCTGCAGTCTCCCATGAAGTCCTTCGTGCTCTGATCACAGACTAATACTGTGGAAAATTGAGCAAAAGGGTAAAAATACTATAAAAGAGTCCAATCCAGAGAAAGTAATCGTGAGTGCGAGACAGACCTGACCAGTCAGAGCCATTAAGGAAAGAATATGCTGCTTGTGTGTGGTTATCAGTGTGTTTAGACAGAAGGCTTGGGATGGGATTAGAGTGAGTAGAGGAGATTAAACAAGAGCATTTCCACCTGCTTGTGATTTAGTGTTGGATAGGAAATGTGATACTGCTTAGTGTGAGGGATGTGAGTGATAAGTTGTGTGAGTTTGAGAGTGTAGTAATGTTTTCAGGCTTGCACATAGGACGTGAAGAGTGTGTTTGTGTTTATGTGTTCAGGGGTCCGGAGGCTAATAGACTTTTGGGGTAATTAGCATGCTGCTGAAAGCCATTAATTCATCTCACCTTTCCTCCCCCATGCTTCCATTCGTGGGCCGGTCCGCAGTGCTCTGCTCAGTTGTCACTGTAATGGATGAGTCCATTAGCTGCCCCTGGCAGGGGAGGTGATCGGTCAGAGAGTAAACTGGGTAAAAAGGGCAAAACTGTCACCAAACAACTTAAGCTTATAGCATCACCACTTTACTTGATGAAATGAAATTTAACACGCTCTCTTTCCCTTGCTTTTCTCCCTCCATCCTTCAGATAAACACACATGCCCACACCTTCATATTACAGAGGCTCTGCTCAGCCTTCCTCTGTCATCTTCTCATTCTATCGCTCGCTCCCTCCCATCCGCCGGTTTGCCATGTAACTCTGTCGTTTCTTGGGAGGGATGGAGCTGGAGAATATTTGTTCACTTATAAAGAACTGACATTTCCTGTCAGCGTTTGAGTGTTATGACTGGGCATTAGGGTGAGACGGGGTGCTGAAACAGTGAGTTCTGCAAGCAGTAACATATCCAGCAATTCACCAAATTGAAATACACAAGTGAGCAAAGAAAAAATCTTAAACAGAATCTTACACAAAAGTTTACACAATTGTTTGCACATGTGCAGATGTTATATGATTTTGTGCATGTTCACTCAACTGGACTATGTTTAGAATGGAATACTAGCATACTGCACTATGCACTGAATCCTGCCTATTATAAAAAAAAACATAGTAGCCTATATAGTATGGATTAGACAAAAATAAAAGTATTCAGACATTATGCAATTAAGTACAGTATTATGCAATTTTTTTTTCTTCATGATCTCTTTATTTGTCCAATTACCTGTTTCCATCGACCTATTTTTTCTTTTTTTTTTATTCACATTTTGGGTAAATTCACTTTTTTAATTTTTTTCCATAAACACTGGATGAAAACTGCAAGATGCACATAAATTCTCATAAATTCTAAAAATGCATATGTATTTTTATGCATATAAACTATGATTGAAACGCATGTACCGGATAAATCCCTCGTTGTGGAACAAAAAACTGCCTCGTTAGAGAATCTGATTGGATAACTGGGCTAACCAATGAACCAGTTTCATTGCACAGCATCTCAAATGTTGGTTTGGTCATTCTGAAATGCCTGAGCCAAAGTTTGTCATCAAAATGGTTTATGAC